TATTAGAAATTTCAATCCCTATCTTTCAACCTCAAACCATCACAATTGCAATTTAATTTCCAACACCTATCACAGTAAAACAAATTAAAAAAACAATAAAAGGTTAACAAAAATATGTTTATCTACACTCTTGATTATTTATTAAATTTAAGTTTTGTATATCCTCATAGCAATTAGAGTGAAATATTTAATTAATTAACATAATATATACCTATATTACTAAATATTACCAATTTATGGTATATTAAATATTGTCAATTTAACATAAATATTTACAAATAATATTTATCTCAATTTCTTCATAACAATTTAGGTAAATAAAATAAACTAATGGAACACAAATATTCCTAATTTATCTTACTAATTAAATTAAAATCTCTAAATAAATAATCTTGTGTGTTAAACAAACAATTTAAACATCAAGAAGTTCAGTAATAAAACCTGAACTATTGAAGAATTATGTCGTCAATCTACTCTTTACGTAATCAGCCAACTAAATAAAGCTCCTACAAAATCAAATCAAAAAATAAAAATAAGCTGAAGTGCTTGATGAAGAAAGAAATAGAAGATGAAAAAGTATGGAAGCAAAAGAAATGAAAAACTTACTGTGAGATGAAGAGAACAAAAAGATTGAAGATGAAGAGAAGAAAAGGATTGAAGATTGAAGATTGAAGATTGAAGATTGAAGATTGAAGATTGAAGATTGAGGATTGAAGATTAAAGATGAAGATTGAGAATTGAATATGAAGAAGAGAAAGAATCTGAATGAACAACAAACTGAAAAACTTTTGGCGTAAAAATAATAAAATAGTCAATTTCTGTCGGTTATAACCGCCAGAATACTAAAATAATAAAATAGTCAATTTTTGTCTGTTATAACCGCCACCATTAACTTCAAAACTGCCAGAATATATAAAAAATATTTTTAAAAAGAATTCACAAAGGCTAACGGTTATAATAATTTTATGTCGGTTTAATCCGATAGTAATTATCCGCCATGAAATCCTGTCAGTTATATCCGACATAAATTCACTTTTATCTAACAATAATTAAATGATGTGTTGGATATCTTTTATCCAACATAATGGCTTATTAACCGCCACCATCATCCGACACTTAAAGCTAATATTGTAGTAGTGTCACCTCTATGAAAAGGATTATAAGATATCTTAAAGGCACTGCAGAATGTGGAATTACATATTCAACTGATATTGATATTCATTTGACAGCATTCTCTGATGCTGATTGGGTTGCCGATTTGAACACAAGAAGGTATGTGACTGGATGTGTGGTATATCTTGGTCGGAATCCAATCTCTTGGCAATCAAAGAAGCAATCCTCAGTCTCTCAAAGTTCTACAGAGGCAGAATACAAGGCACTTGCACATACTGCAGCAAATGTGGCATAGATTCCGTTGATTTGAAAGATTTGGGGGTTGCATTGCCTATTCAACCAACCATATTTTGTGACAATATGTTAGCAATAGCACTTAGTGCTAATCCAGTGTATCATTCGAGAATTAAATACCTTGATACAAATTATCGTTTTGTTCGAGAAATGGTGCATAATGGTGATCTGTTGGTTGAGTATCTACTTACCGATGAACAGACAGCCGATGTTCTTACTAAAGGCTTACACAGTCCAACGTTCACTCGACATTGTTTCAATCTCAAACTTAGGTACCCTAGTTGAGATTGAGGGGGTATGTTGACTAATATTGACTCAAGGAAATGCCACATAATCTGTCATGTCATCAATATTACTGTTGAAAGTTAGTTAGGATGGTTATTAGTAGCTTACACAGTAAGAAAGGTGGTTAGGATACTAAATAGATATAAAAGGCTGATTGTGGCTTAATGTTTGTACTAAGTCATCATTCTATCAAAACAATATCTCTCATCTTCACTCTAATTTTCTCTCTAATATTTCAATATTCTCTGTACTGCTTCCTTCTTCTTCTTCTTTCTGCAACTCTAGTTACTTCTATTAAGAATGCATGTATCATGTATGTGATAATGTGAGAGTATGGCACTAAGATTAATGTCCAATATCACTAGGAAGGGTAAGATTGTTCGTATAGTAGGGCATTGGGCCTATGTATAGCCTGCTACGTTATACCATATATATCATGATACGAATATTCAACCTAATTTGACTGAAAATATGACTTTAGCCCCTAAAGTTTAATTTTCTCCATATAAAACCCGACATAAGTTTTTTACTGTAATAAAAATCATTGACTAGATTCCACATCAGCAAATTCATTAATTATATTAGACTTTACACATTTAAAAAAAAATTGATGCCTAAAATACCCCTATTTGAATGTTTGATGTACACAATTAATTCTATACGGATTGTAAGGAAGATTTAATGATTTTACAAAAATTAAAATAAAAAAATTTGTTGCCTAATATATAATAACAATAAAACATGCCTAATATATGTAATAATACATGCTTAGTTTAGTCAATCAAATTATATTTTACCTACAAAATATATGTTAGTTGCTCATCATAAATTACCTATTATTTGTACATATATCTTATAATAATAAAATTTGCCAAATATATGTAATAATACATGGAAAATATATTACCTACTAAATAAAAGAATGTTATTTTATTCAACATTAATTTACCTACAAAACATATGTTAGTTGCTCATCATGTATATATATATATATATATATATATATATATATATTGAGCTTATGGTTGTACTATATACATTTGAACGTGTATATATATATGTTAGGGGTAATAATATGTGTAAGAACTATTTGTTCATTGTAATTAAGGTGAGTATTACATTTATTGAGTTATTTTGAATATTGTGGTACAAGTTGTAAATATCTTGTAATAATAGGTCAATTATTTTTCTACTTGGCAGTCATTTTCAAATTTGGGTTTTATTTGGAAGTTTATAATTATGTGGGTTTTTGTCTGGAAAATAAAAGTTGCAAGTGTCTATATCTAAAGAATCCTAAACCAAACAAACATGAAATGAAGTTCGTGTTCAATTCACTACACAATCAGTAATGCAAATGCTTCATTATATAAGAGTAGCAAACAAGTCCGCTTCATTATATGAGAGTAGCAAACAAGTAAATAACAATATGTATCACATAATACTCCCTGTAATTCTTTGCACAAATACAAGTATTTGATCTTAATTTTCACGTATAGCCCAACGAGCTTAGTATTGTCAAGCAGAACATACCTTCATTACCATCCACAACAAGCATTGTTCAATTAAGGCATGAACTTATAGAAGAAGCATCAATGAAATACCTATGCCAATATATATGTTTGAAAACATGACAGTTAACAAGCGAGTATTGAAGTTTGAAAAGAGCGTAACTGAAAAATAGAGGAAATGTGGACAGAAAGCCAAAGGCAAAATAAGTAGCTGGTATAAATAAATAAATATACTTGATGCTAAGACAAATAACTAAAGTCTTAGCTCGTGTTCTATTATAGTTTTCAAACATTACAAATGCCATGCAACAGTAGAATTGACAGCATCGTCTATGTAATTCATGTGAGAGGTAGCTACGCTTCGACAAGGCTTTTTAACGCCCCACACCCTCATTGCATTAGGCCCATTTGGTACAAAATGAACAAAAGCATTTGGCTCACTAGATGACCACCGACCTTCAACAATTACTTCTCTGAACCCGTCCAATCAGGCAATATGCACTTTTCATTACTTGAGTTTCCAGATTCGAACTATTGTTCATAAAAATCCTAACCATAATCGAAAAGTGATTTATCAGAATTTTGATCCGATGTTCCTCGATTTCTTATTGGAGTTGTAATCCATGGCTAGAAGCTCAACAACAAGGGGAATAGAAACAAAATGAAAATTACAGAGAGATAGCTTGTATTTTATCACATATTCAGAGAAAACAAACCAGAACACAGATAAAATAAATGAAGACTTTGGATGTGTTCACTAGCTAATTTTCTTTGACTAAAACCTTTTTGGTTTTCAATTTTCTATCGAAATCCCTGAAATTAATGTAATAATTTATTTCTACGTATATTACTATATTTTTTAAATTAAAATTTAAAATTTATAGTTGTTTATATTAATAAGATTTTAAATAAAAAACCATAATTTGTGGGATTAAAAATAGGGAATTATTATTAGCACTCCAAAAATCTTATTCTATACACCAAACTTTCTATATTTGGAAAGAAAAATACATTTGCAAAGAGTGTAGAATGAGATTTTTGAAGTGGCAATAACATTTCCCTAAAAATATTAAAATATAAATATATTATTGTGTGTGTATGTATATAAATATGGGTACATTCATCAAAATTACCAAAACATGGGTACATTCTTCAACATCACAAAAAAAAAAAAAAAAAAAGATATCAGACTTAATAACATTGGTAAATTTCTTCATTTAAACTTGACATAGATACATTCTCAAATCAAAGAAAAAAAAATATACCCATATAAAATTTCCCTATAAATAAAAAAGAATCAAACGGACAGAAAAACGGTTTAAAAATAGAAGGGTTGTGAAAATCACTACCCAAACACTATCTGCTTTTAAACTTTAGGGCCTGTTTCACAGAAGCACTTTGATACACTACTTATCAATTTGATTGCATAACTTAATTAAAATGTAATGCTAGAACACTAAATTTGTTGACAAAATTTTAAAAACTTAACAACATCGAACACTAAATTTGCAAACAAAATTTTGTAAACTAAATAAAATGAAAATTAATGATTTGATTATTACTTAAACATTGATAAACGTGTTCATTTTTTATTAGTAAGACATCTTTTAGTTTGAAAATTTTGTTTACAAATTTAACCTATGTGTTGTTACTCCAAACAAAAAGAACTTCTGATTTATTTTATTTTTTGAAATGGCACAAAGCTAGAGCTATTTCATTCTTTCCACACACAAAAAGCTCACTCTATGTGAGCCCCAAGCAAAAGTACTCCAGCACAGCTGACGAGTGCTACTACTGCTCTCTACATACACTACTTTTATTAGGGTTTTGGAGTCAAATATCACACACTACCTTCTCTCTCCATTCGTACTTCCTTCTTCCCTACTATTATTCCGAGATAGCTTAATTAAACAAGTTAATTAGATTATGCCAGCAAACTCCAAAATAGAAGACATAGGATGGCTTTTCCCTCTTCTTCCCTTGTGAGCTGGCACAAAGTACGATTCCTGCTGCTTCCCAAAGATTTTTTCCATGTCTTGCCCAAATGCCAGCTGCTTAGCCTCCCTATTCATCTGCAGCATTATGTTGTCCTTTTGCCCTGCATTTTCAACAAACCACAATTAGCTATACAGTTAAAGATGCCCAATGGTTTTAATTGTCAAATTAGTTTGACACATTCACCAAAATAGAGGTTTCGTGGATGACAAGTAGGATACCTAATTATTATGCGACTCCTGCACCCTTAAGTGTAAATATACTGTTTCTGACTTGATTAATTTATTTACCTGCAAGGAAGTTCCTCATGCTATATTGGGCATTGAGTCCGAATCCCAGGATTCGGATGTTCTGGTTTTGGTTGCCATTGTTGCTGTGGGTAACAAAGGCAACAGGATGACCAGCTGGGATAACGAAAGCATCACCAGGTGATAGTTGAGCATTGACCTTCATGAACCTTCCACTGTGTTCTCCCTGCTCCTGTTGCTCCGTCGTCTCTTGGCCTTGCATTTGGCTTGCCAAGTGCGGGCACACCATTTCGACACGTACATTTCCTTCCACAACATATATGAGGAATGTAGCTTTTGAATTGAAGTGTGGCACCATCATAGTTTGCTGCAAAAAATTGATAAGATTTTCATTACCCACAGGTAATAATCTACAGGCAAATTAGCTGACATCACAATTTTATAAATCATAATGGCATGAAATCATCAAAATAGACTAGATATAGTTGGACACATAAAAAGTACTGATCATTTAAACAATTAAGATTTTGTATTTTTTTCGTTGCAGCTAATTTCCCTTTAATTAATTTGTTTTGGGATTAATGGTGAATTACTTGGTTCATCTCAATGCAACTGACTGAGACGTCCATGTCCTGGAACTGACTGAACTCTTCAGGGCGAGCCTCAAAGAGCTGGCCGTAGTTGTTGGAGTGCACAGGTTTTAGTTGTCTCAGATTGAACGGACCCTCGGACTGTCGGCGTCCTTCACGCCTGGCCGAAGAAGCACGCTGACTCAATGCCTCAAGTTGCTCCTTTGGGGCTCTCATGACTATGCCTTGGCCCCCTTGTTGGCCCCTTTGTTGTCTAAAGCCCTGCTCTAGCTCTTTTCTTGGGGTCTGATCAAATAATTAATACTTGTAAATTAGAGCCTAATTAATCTATGTGAACAAATTAAATCAAGTTAAGGGCAAAGAACAAAAATTAAGAATTATAACTTACACTGAAGGCAGATTCAAGAATGTCATTGCTGAAAACGCTGAAGTATGACTCGGGATTTCCAGAACCAGCAGGGAAGAATTCCTGAAGAATGTTAAAGCAATGATATAAATTACCAACCCCAAATATTAAAACCAAAACAAAATTCAAGTGTTTGTGTGAAAATTTAGTTGGGTTTGTGGGTATTTAATGGCTCAAACAAACAAAAATAAAAATTACCAAAGCTAATATTTTGATGAAATGAAGTGATGATTTTGGTTACCTCAAATCGTCCAGGACTGTTAACAGAGCGGATGAGCTTTGCAATGTGAAGAGGTTCATCATTGTTATTGTTAGTTAAGTAAATAGTAGTCCCTGCACGAACTCTAATCACATCTCCATGCTCTATGTTGAAGGACTCCTTTCTGTCTTTCAAGAGAAGAGTACAGGTACATTGTCCTGACATTGGAAAGCAACGAAAAAAACGAAGATATTAGAGCTTATGATAAAATAATTTCATATAAGAAAATGATTGTTAATGGAGGACTAACTCACCGTTGAGAACAACGAAAATCGCTTCAGCATCACAATGGTGTGGGAGAACAAAAGTGTTAGGCATTGCCTCAAAGATGGCCAAGCGGTAGTTCTTAATGCCACGAAGAAGCTCACTCTTTCCAAACCTCACAAGTACCTGAAGACTTCCTTCATCGGACTGGAACCGCGACTGAAACATCTGTGATGGAAAGTAGAAGGGATTGTTCCTCTGATCCCCCATCATCTGCTCCTCTTCTCCTTGTCCATATTGGTTCGGATGAACTCCTCCTGTGCTGCCGCCCTGCTGCTGCTGTCCTTGTTGTGCGCACTGTAGTTTACATTGTTTTTTCTGATCATCATCCTGTGCTTGCTTTTCACAACCCTTCTTGCACTGCTTGAATTGCCGTTTCTCCTGTTCAAATTGTTGCTTGCACTGTTTTGGGCATTGCTCTTGTTGTCCCTGGCCCTGTAGTTGACTCTTGCAGCTTTGCTTGCACTGCTCATATCGCTCTTTGGCACCACCATAACCTGAGCCATTTAGTGCCTCGTCATCCTCTACTTCATTACATCCTCCTCCTCCTCTTTGGTGCTGCTGCTCTCTCAGTTGTTTGCACTTTTCTTTGCATTGTCGTCTTTCATCATCGTGCTGCGATGACCTTTCGCAGCCCTGCTTGCACTGCTGGTACTGCCCTTTCTCCTGTTCAAATTGTTCCCTGCACTGCCTTGGGCACTGTTCTTGTTCTCCTTGACCCTGTTGTTGTCTGCTGCAACTCTCCATGCACTGATCGTAACGCTGTCTGGATTTGCCATTTTGGTCTTCATCCTCTACTCCGTTGTCTCCACTGCCTTGTCCTTTCCCTTGCCCTTGCTGTTGCCTTCGTTGCTGATCTTTAATCTCCTGTATGCACGTACTTAGACATTGCTGTTGTTGACCATGTTTTTGGCTCTGGCACCGCTGGTGGCATTGTTCGAATTGTTTCTCTAGCTGTTCAACTTGCTGCTCACACTGTCTTTGGCATTGCTGCCCCCCACCACTCCCTTGCTGCATCTCACAATGTTGCTGGCATATTATCTTCATCTGCTCGCGCTCTTGTTCTTGTTGTCCTTGTTGTCCTTGTTGTCCATGTTGCCCCGTTTGGTCTTGACACTTTTGCAGACACTGGTGCTGCTTTTGGCCGCCCTGCGACTGGCAACGCTGCTGACATTGATGTTGCCCATATTGTTGTCCTTGTTGCCTCATTTGATCTTGTCCTTGCTGCCCTTGTTGCCTCATTTGATCTTGGCACTCTTGCAGACACTGATGCTGCTTTTGGCCACGCTGTGATTGGCAGCGCTGCTGGCATTGCTGATGACCATGTTGCCTCATTTGATCTTGGCATTCTTGCAAACACTGGTGCTGCTTTTGGCCGCGCTGCGACTGGCAACGCTGCTGACACTGCTGCAGCTCGTGATGGTTAGAAACATAACTTTGTAACTCCTCACCTTGTCCTCCCTCAATATGCTGGCCGCAAATCTTCTGGCATATCTCCGGCGATTGAATGGTCTGTTGGCATTGTTCGTGGCACTGCTTGAATTTCCGTTGCTGCATGCACTTCCTTTGACAATGTTCCAGCGGAACCCGAGTTCCCTGCTTCTCACACTCCTGTCGGCATTCCTGACCATGAGATTGGCTGTACCACACCATTTCGCCAGCAACCGGAGGACCCGACCAGGGCCCCATATTCTTGCATCGGGACAAACACGTGGATTGTATTGGAAGGCTCTGGAAGTCCTTACATTCTTGTTGACATTGCTGGTCTGTATCTTGCTCTGCAAGAGTGAAAGACAGAGAGAAGGCAAGGAAAAGAGAAGAAACCAACAACAGGAAAGGAAGCCAAGCTTTCGAATTGATCACCATTTTTTCTAATTTTCTTTAATTTTATGCTCCTGTGGGAAGAATGGCTTAAAGGGTTCGCATATTTATACAAGATTAAAGGCTAAGCGTGCATGTAAATTTGTACATTTGTCCATGCACATTACATGCAAGGTGACTAGTGTCGATGGCGAAATCTTGACGTGTCCAATTTGTGAAATTCAAAAGGCGGAGGATTCGAGATGATTTATCCAAACTTGGTCTTCACGTGGGTGCTAATGCGGACGGAATGGTGAGGAAATGTGAGACTTTGCGGAGTCGACTGGGTTTGTTGGACAGGTAAGGGGGAACGTGCTGAGGTGCATGTGAGTGAGAAGCCAGGAATCGGAAGTGGGTTGGTGGACGCGGCGATGCTCATCCATAGTTTGGATATTGACGGATTACTTTTTGGTGGTGGAGAAAAAGCCAAAGGGAGGTGCCTCTGCACAAATGGGGGACTGCTTGGCTTTACCTTCTGTTGGCTGATATATTGCACGAAAGTTCCGACTTCTTTTCTCAATGGTGTATGAAGTTTAGTTCAAGTTATCCAGTATCATTCAAGATTACAAAAATAATTTTCCGTCGGTTTTCCCTTGAACTTGTACTTCATCGTCGATATTAAGATCAATCTCCCATAACTTTTATAAATGGTCAATTTTTCTTATATTTCTTCAAATTTTTTTTTTTTTTTTTTTTTTTTTTGGTGAAGAACGGGGAACACAACCCAAAAAGAACTACAAACCAACAGCAAACCGAGTCCGAGGGACTCCAGCACCATCATCAATGAGAGCTGATCTAATCCACACAGGAGGCTCATCAAAAACAAGAACACCAATATCCATGTTATAACTCCAATTAGCCAACTGATCCGCCACAATATTCTTCTCTCTATAAACGTGATTCAATTCACACCTCCTCAATTGTCTCATCATTAATCTGCAGCTATGCATAATTGTCTCCAAAGGATGGAAATTATCAACTTGGGATTGCTTCAACAACATAATAACAGCCTTGGAATCCATCTCAATATGAAGCTCAGTAGCACCCTTATCAATAGCAAGCTGTAAACCAAAGTATAAACTCCATAATTCAGCATCACAAACCTGCCCTTGTCCCAAATTCACAGCAAAGCCACCTAACCAGTTGCCATTATGATCTCTTAGAACGCCACCAGCCCCAATTCGACCAGAATTTGTCCTTCTAGACCCATCCACATTTAGCTTACACCAACCTACATCAGGATGATCCCAAGAGAGAGAAATTTGCCTTTTTACAAGTTTGACAGAATACTTCACACAAGCCTTCAACCATTCATCCACATCTCTCTCAATGATCGCTTTGGATACATAGGCATGACAAAATTGACATCAAAAATCTGCTTGTTTCTCCACTTCCAAATATGCCAACAAATAAAAAGGAAAAGAGTACACCAAGCACCCTCATTGGTCCCTTTTGAACTTACTTTCAGATTTGCCAGCAACCAAGCCTTAAACTCAAGATTCTGGGCATTCCTCAGTTGCCATGGAACTCCCATACTTTTCCAGATACACATAGCCCTGGAACAATCTTTAAAAATATGAGCAATGGATTCAATTGGTCCACAACAAGTCATACAAGAAGAATCAGAAGTTAATTGTCTTCTAACTCGTTGCTCATTAGAAAGCAATCTCCCTTTACTCATCAACCAAAGAAAAACTTTTAGCTTCGGTGGAACATTAACTCTCCAAATAAAATCCCAGCATGAATCAGGCAAATCCTCTTCATCAAAGAAAAGATTATAAGCTGACTTAACGGTGAAAACTCCATTAGAAGCACATCTCCAAATAATTTTATCCATACCTGCACCAGTAGTACCAGCAGGCCGACATATAATTTTTTGAACCATATCCTCTGGCAACACATCTCTGAGCTTATCAATATCCCACCAACCATTTCTTAAAAATTCAGAGACAACACAATCAATATTGGAGATATTAGCAACATCAATAGTTTCCATTAAAGGGACATTTAAGACCCATGAATCCTTCCAAAATTTCACACTCTCACCATTGCCAATTCTCCAAGTCATGCCCTTTTTAAGAAGATTAACTCCATACAAAATTCCTTTCCAAGAATAAGAACACTCAGTTCTTTCATGAATTTTGGGGTCTAAAATAGAATAGCCTTTCAAATACTTAGCCTGATAAATTTGAGACCAAAGACCAGAGTCCTTAGCATGAATCCTCCACCCTAACTTAGCTAAAAGAGCCTGATTCATTACACAAGCTCTCTTAATCCCCAAACCACCCTTACTTTTAGGTTTGCAAACCATACTCCATTGGCACAAATGGACTTTTTTCTTTTGATCGGTATCCCCCCACAAAAAATCCCTATTCACCTTGTCTAACTCTTCACACACACTGGCCGGAAGCTTGGTCGTTTGCATGGCATAAACTGGTATGGACGAGGTAACAGCTTGAATTAAGGTAATTCTTCCAGCCATGGACAATACCTTGCTCTTCCAAGTTGCCAACCTCTTCTGAACTTTATCAATAACGCCCGAATAAGTAGCCTTTGAAACTCTAGTCTGAATTAGAGGCATTCCTAAATAATTCCCAAGACTCTCAGAGACAGGAGACCCACAAATTGTACTAATACTCTTAACACAAGCCCTGGACGTGTTTGGAGAACAATAAAGAACAGATTTTTCAAAGTTAACAGCTTGACCAGAAGCTTTGCAAAATTGTTCAAGGCACCTCTTCATTACTCTTGCTTGCTTAGGAGTAGCTTCAGAAAACAACATTAAATCATCAGCGAAAAAGAGATGAGATACCCTAGGTCCAGATTGAGAAGCCTTAACAGGTTTCCACCTTCCTTTGTTCACAGTTGCAGAAATTAAATGGGAGAGTTTCTCAATACATAGAACAAACAAATAAGGGGACAAAGGATCCCCTTGCCGAATACCGTTTTGAGGAATAAAACCATCTGTTAATTCACCATTGAAACAAATTTGGTACCTAACTGTGGATACACATTCCATCATAAGTTGAATCAAATTCGAAGGCAATCCAACCTCATTCAGCACATACTCAATAAACTTCCAATTAAGTCTGTCATACGCCTTAGAGAGATCAATTTTCCAGGCTAAAAATCCTTTTTGGCCTTTTGACATTCTGAACTTGTGAAGAATTTCTTGAGCAATGAGGACATTGTCAGAAATTTGTCTACCAGGAACAAAACTAGCCTGATTAGGACTAATTAGATGAGGCAAGTGAGGTCTGATTCTAGCAACAATGATTTTAGAGATCACTTTATAAAGAGTGCAACAGAGACTAATAGGCCTAAAATTCAACATCTTTTGAGGATTATCAATTTTAGGGACCAATGTAATCAGCGTACTGTTTAACCCAGCAGGCAATCTCCTTGAGTGAAAAGCATTCCATACCATATCAAAAGATATCATTAGCACATATATATTCCACTGACTTTGATAAAAGCAAGCAGGAAACCCATCAATACCTGGAGCTTTAAGGCCTCCAATATTAAAGAGGCTTTCCTTGACTTCAACCATATCAATATCTTTGGTAAGAGCTTCACGAACAGCAACATTAATATCAGGAAAAAGATTAGGAAGACATTCCATTTGCTTAGACTTTTGCCCATGCGAAAAAATAGTTTGAAAGTACTCAACTGCCAACTTTTTCATATCAGAAGACTCCGATATCCAAGCACCTTGATTGTTAATGAGGCCCTCAATTCTATTTCTTCTCCTCCTTACAATAGTAGTGAGATGAAAAAATTTTGTATTACGATCACCTTCTTGAAGCCACCTCAACCGAGACTTTTGATGCTAAAATATAGCCTCCTCATTTAGAACTTCATTATAATCAGAAATCAACTCATCCTCCAATTTAGAAAGAAATTTATTAGGCCCACGACACAAAGCTTTTTGAATCCCATCAATTCTTGCTAGAAGTTTGCGCTTTCTCTGTTTGAGATGACCAAAGACTTGAATATTCCACTTCTTAAGCGGTTCAATAAGAGCACAAGTTTTATCAACAACCGAACCTCCACCATTACTCCAATAACCATCAACAAACTCCTTAAAATTTTCATGCCTCAACCACATAGCTTCAAAACGAAAAGGACGATGATTGGGAGAAAATGACTTATGAGAATTTAAGCATATCTTAATAGGGCAGTGATCTGACTTGGTTCGCGGGAGATGGTGAACATAAGCTTCAGGGAAAAGGCTCCTCCAACTCATATTACAAATCCCACGATCAATTCTTTCTAACACTTTTTTATTAGTCCAAGTAAATTTAGGACCAATAAAACCCAAATCAATCATATAATTCCTATCCACCCAGGATTTGAAGCCTTTTAATCTGCATAATAGAGCACCACCAAGTTTATCATCCACACACAACATGTCATTGAAATCCCCAGCAATTAACCAAGGCAATTGATGACAATCAGCTACAAAATCTAAATAATCCCACAATCTTTCTCTTTTAGTAACACAAGGGCTAGCATAGACAGCGGTGAAAATCCAATGGTTCTGACCAACACCATCCACAACAACAGAAATAGCTTGGTCAGTGGTACCGATAACTTCCACCTTTAATCTAGAATCCTTCCACAACATCCACAAACCACCAGAAAAGCCAACAGCATCCACAATCTCAAAGCACGGAAAACCAAGAGATTTCACAACTGAAATAGCTTTCTGACCACTAATCCTGGGCTCACAAATAACCAAAATCTCCATTTGGTGAATGTTAATTAATTCTGCAACATTATCTTTAAACTTGGTGCAACCAGCACCTCTAGAGTTCCATACTACAAATATTCATCATAAAGATGGATGAGAAAGATAAAACCAAGGCATACAGCCTAGCAACCCATAAGGGTTTCCTCCACATGGGAGGCACACCTCTCAGCAGACTTAGCTAAACAATAATCCTCGGTTGAACGAGATCGTTGAATAATTGAACCTGGAATAGTATGATCAGTATTCATCATCTCTTCACCTGGATCTAGATCACACGCAGCTAACTCAACATCGCTACCACTAGCATTAGATGGTTGGTGACCAAAAATATAGGTTCCCTTTGACATATTTGAACCATAGTACATATCAGTCTTGAAGGCATTAACATTAAATTTGAACGGCTGATCCTCAACATTACTAATCGAACTAGAACTTGACCTTCTCACTAAAGGTTGTCTTAGTTGCCCCAAATTATGCGTAGATGGCTGTCCACCACAGTTAGATATATCAGCAAGTGCATCCCGATCACTAGCTTCCTTCTTCTTCCTAACCCCCCAAATTTTCCTTTCAATAGAACCTTCACCCTTCTCACCATCTGTGCCACTTCCCACATTTCCCTCATTCAGACTTTTATCTTCCCCATTGAGCACACTGAACCTTGACCCCTGCCCATTAAAAGCACCATCAACACCTCTCTGTCCATTATTTATTTTCCGAGGTCTACCTCTAGGCTTAACTTGCATCCAATTACCATGAATAGCAGAAACATCATCGCTACTTTGAGCAGCCTTTACTATAGGCTCATCCATATTCATCATATTACTCTCATTTTCACCACCATCAACCTTTTCCGCCATAGGATCAACGCTCCAAGTACAGCTCTCCCTCTTATGCCCATAACGACCACATCCAAAACAAATTTCTGGCATACCCTCATACTCCAAATTGTACCATCTATCATTAATTTGAATAAACGCTTCAAGAGGCTTAGTCACATCAATCTCAACACAAATTCTAGCAAATTTGCCCCTGTATTGAGAATTAGTGTGTACATCAATCTTCAACAGTTTTCCCAGCACACTACCTATCTTCCTCATAGCCCAAACATTAAAATACTCAATTGGAACACCCATTATCCTGACCCATACAGCCATACGAGTCATAACCTCAGTTGCAGGCACAAATCCTGGTCTCCATTTTTGAATCGTCAAATACTGACCCGCAATTATCCAAGGTCCACCAGTTAAAACAAACTCCTTATCCTCTTCCAAATCAAATTTAACAATATAAAAATCATGATCAATGTCAATAAGCTGCATACCTCCTTTTAATTGCCATTTTTGCCTCAGCCTGTTCAACAAAAAATTATAAGTGTGCGATCGTCCAAGAAGTTTGATGACCAGAGCATCATGCCAATCCTTACCAAATTTCGTCACAGCTTTTTCAGAGAATGTAACGATAGGCCCTTTCACCTCACGAGAGAATGACACGTCCCCGTCAACGAGATCAGGATCAAAATCAAAATCAGATACAGCAACCGAGACAAGTCGCCGAGATGATTTCATAAGCTTGTCTTTGAAACTCACATTAGGCTCCAGGTGCAGAGCAGCCATGTCACGTTCAGCATCCAAATTCGGTCCATCAATTCCACGACTTCTCTTACCAGATCTGGACGAATCAACACCATTAGCTCCAAATTCAATCGGTGAAGAAACTGATTCTCCATCCATCCTCGAGGACTTCCCCTTCGCCTGCCCACCAGGCTCCACCTGCTCCGCCATATTTCAAATTTTTTCTTCAAATTTTAGATATTGGTACTGAACACATTTTTAATGCTTTTTTTTCAAAAAAAATCATTCTTAGATTCAAAAAAAAAAAAAAAAAAACTACCATATGCATTCGCAAATTATAAAAAAGCAAAATTCTATTTGTCATCTCCATTTTACCAAACAGCTATTCAAAACTCGTTTTGTGAGATGTAAACAGGCTCCTAATTATTTTAGTTCTCAATTTTTTTTTTTTTTGTAATTTTAGTTTTTTTAAAAAATAAAAAATGAAAGCAAAATATTCTCAAATTGCCCTAAAATTTTGTAAAAAGCAAAAAGTGTTTTCCAACACTCCAGTTCAACCCAGAAGTCAACAATTATTCCAAGTTTTTTATTTAGGAAATTTTATTTGAATCCATGTAACATCTTTCTACACTCAACTTAAATTTAAATTGTTAATTATTTATTTTATCCTATTGTATAATTACTATTAAGTACAAAATGAAATTAATAATAAAACTCAAATTTATCAATAAACCCATTAAACCCTACCATCACTTCTTGTTTATCATACATTCATTCTGACTAAAACCCTAATAGGTTTTGTAGAGAAAAACAAGTTTTTTTATTGATGGATGGTGATTTTGAAGTTTTGAATCCTTCAACTAAGGTATGACTCAATTTATGAATATTTTATTTGTTTGATTTCAATTTTTTTAAAGTTTAGAAGATCAGTATTTGGGCTTCAATTTTTTTCATCAATCCCGAATGGTTTGTTAAACTTTCTGCAATTGGAAAATTCTAAGAAAAAACTTCTTACCAATATTCTTATATTATAAACTTCCTTGCTTGTTGATAAATATAAGGGGATGAATTGTTTGATTTGTTGCTTATGCACATCAGTAGAAATAAAAAAGGCAAATGTTTGGGTTTGGCAGTAGAAAGAAAAAAAGGTAGCCATGGAAATGCTAGTGGGAAGAGGGGGTGGGGCAAGGATGCCTCTTTTTTTTAAAAAAAAAAAATCAATTACAGATGTTATTTTATAAAGTGAATTGGTGTAAAATAATTTAACATTTTGAATTGAATTTGAGAGAGTAGTTTAGGTAATAAATTTGGGTTTAAAAAGAGATTAATTCTTTAATAAAAAATAATATGGGTGAAGAGAGTAAGTTGTGTGTAAAAAGAGGTTATATGGGTTCAAATAAAATTTCGCTTTTTATTTTCTACACCGGATGACTGTTGCTAAGTTTAATATATAAATATAGTTAAAATACATTTGGGAGCAAAAAGAAAACAAAAGATATCTCATCCCATCCCATATATGAGAATGGAAATATTTCTCTGTACATTTTTTCTTCACGAGTAAACTGTTGAGATTTAACTAATTGATATTTAGTTAAATCTCAATTGTTCATGTGGAAAAATATGTACAAATGAGCAAAGCTCGGGAATGAGAACGCCCAAGCTTCCAACAGAAAAGAAAAAAGAAATAGCTAGAAAACTCCAAAGCTCTTGAAGGTCCAATCTCATCTATCCCATAAAATGGAGCTTTAGATGTTATTATTAGCACTCTAAAAAGAATAATACAAGAGTTGCTGTTAAGTTTGATAATTTCTTGTACAACCTATGAACATGAAATAATACGAAAATAATAGGTTTTGAGTAAATCCGTTAATGAGTGAGGTCGGCATCGGGTCACCTATTAAGAACTCCGTTAACGAATCAGGTTGCTATCGAGTCACCCATTAAGAATCCATTAACAAACCGGATCGTTATTGAGTCACCCGTTAAGATAATGAGTATTACACGTAAACAATACGAATATGACCCGTTTTCCAAGTCTAGACATTAGGCATAAAAATTTCTTACATCAACCATTAACCCAACACGAAATGACACAACCTGTTAACGAGTCGAGTCGTTATCGGATCATTTGTAAAAGAATTATTAAGATAACGAATTTGACACGACACAATCTGCTAAGATAATGAATATGACACGAAAATGACAAACATGACACATTTGTCAAGTCTAGTTGCCGCATGCAATCCGCCATGCCTTTGGATATCTAAGTGCTAGTTTCACCCAAATAGATTACGTTTAAATATGTTGTATTTCTAGCATTATCAAACTCATCCGGTGTAGCAAATTAATATCTTGGATAATTTGATCTTCTGGGTTCGACTCCCAGCACCGGAAATAGTTTTTTTTCGTTTTCAGAAAAGTCTTCGTTGCCTTCCCTTATTTTTTTTTTGGTACATTTTTTTCCTTTTGATGAATCTTCCTGTAAAACTTGACACATTAATTGAAGGGTAATTAGATCCCAAAAAAATAAAAAACAATCGAAGGGTAATTTTCTTGGGTTAAACTAGCTTGAAAAAAAGGGATTGATTTTGCATGGTGGGAGTGAACAATTACCGAAGCTCAAGCACACCTCAATTTTTTTATATCTGGCTCTGCATTTTGATCGGGTGTCTCGTCGTCGTCGGTGCCTAACCTGCAGGTTAGCTTCCCCGATATGCATGTATGCTTATCAGATTTGGGGATTGTTGGTGTGACAATTTTAATTTGGGAAATTTTGATCTCGATTATTTATTATTTATTATTTATTTTTGGGTTGTTTTTTTCACACCTCACATTTTGTTGATTACACCCACATACATAATAAACTATACTTTTACTTTTTGAATTAAAATTTATCTTAATGCACCCCACATTTTTTCCAATACTCCCATCACACCCACATTCTTAATATACACCTACCACTTAAACTCTTTATCAACATCTAGGTTTATGTCGATTGAGTGTTTAGTTTTCTATCAATTAGGGATTTTAAATTTCGTATTTGAAGAAATTGGATAAAAAGCATCAAATGTAAACCAAGTTTTGCAAAAAATAATATAGAGCCTTTGAAATCTTAGCAAGTGAATTCAAAAGATTGTTCAAGGGAATTTCGGAAGTGCCCATCATCATCAAGCCATCACATTGAAGACTATTACTTCTATTGGCTCGAGTAAGGAGCAATAATGTGAGGATTATGACAAGTTGCCCTAAGTTGCTTCATGAGGTTTTTCAATATTTGTTTTCTGTATATGTCCAACAGGCAACAACAAACTCCACCATATCAAAAACAAACCCGTTCAATTTTTTCTGAAGAGATTTTAGCCAATCAAATGAAATATCATAAACATAAACTGATATGTGATACATGACATTGCATTGAATTGTATCGTTGAGTTTAATAGCGGGTGAGAGTGGCTTCGAGAGCTTGAAGAAAATAATATACACTAAAAATTATTTGCTCTAGTCTTTGCTCTAGCCATTCGACACCTCAAGTGCATATTCACCAACATGACCGACCTATGTCTCCTATAAATAGCATCACCACTTCAAATTTTATGCATACCATCTCTTTACAACTTCTCGCGTTGCATGCATTTGTTGTAGTAGTTTTGCATGCATGAATATTATATATATATATATATATATATATATATATATATATATATATATATATATATAGTTTATAGAGAGAGAGAAAGGAAAGAGAATTTAGGGTTAGTGAGTTGGTTATGTGGAAAATTGTTAGTAGGCTTGTCTTGCCAATGTTCTAGTTAACGATCTAGGTGAGTGGTTTATGTAATGTACGTTTCAAAATATTCTTATTTTCTTATTTATGAAAATCATGAGTTATCATGTGATTTATCTATTTTAAATAGGGAAATTTTATTTAAACCCATGTAATCTCTTTCTACACTCAACTTAAATTTTAAATGCTAATTGTCTGTTTTATCATCTTGCATAATTACCATCAAGTACAAGATGAAATTAATAATAAAACTACAATTTATCAATAAACCCACACATTATAATTAAATGTTATCATCACTCCTTGTTTATCCTACGTTCATTCCGACTAAAACCCTAATAACTCTTATAGAGAAAAACAAGTTTTTTTTATCGATGGCTAAAACCCTATTTCTAGCAAGGATGGAGAAGTTGCATGAACCAACATCTCACTCTCAAACCATTCGAATTAAATAAACAACATATAAAGTACAAGCAAAAGCCTTGAAGATGTATCTAAGTTATAGGCCACATATTTTATGTCAATGGATCAACAACCTTCTATAATCATGGTCAGGTGATGTGCTCTGGACTCAAATCTTTAAGGAGTCCGCTCAAAATAAAAGGACCTGCATGAAAACTAGGAGATAATTTATAGTCAACATGAATCGAAGTTCAACACTTTGTTCAACATTGCCGGCCATGAACGCTCTATAGCTTCGTGAAAATTTTCCTCCTCTTTCTTGCCTCAACTACTACAATTGCATATGCGAGTAGGTACATAGGACTTAGAAGATTTTTGACTTTCGAATTTCTTTGAAAACAAAACTACTTGGTTTGAAATTTTGTTTTATAAATGGGTGTAAAGAGAAATTAACATTTTGAATTGGGTATGGGATGACATTTTAGGTAATAAATTTAGGTTTAAAAGGAGATTAATTCGTTAATTAAAAATAATATGGGTGTATAGAGTAAGTTGGGTGTAGAAAGAGGTTACATGGGTTCAAATAAAATTTTCCTTTTAAATATCTCTCTATTTCAAGTCAAGCATGTATGATTTTGTTGTAAATGCTTTGATGAGTATATATGGTGATATGTGGATTTATCTGAGGTTGTTCATGGAGCATGAGAGTTTTAGTGTTGTATTAGCCCGATGAATAAATGTAAACTGCAAACGGAGACATTAGGGTGAAATGGTCATTAGAGGTCACGTGGTGAGTTACATTTGATGAAGAATATAATAACACGTAAAGGGATGATTGATAGGAACATATTTATGCGACTGAGTTAGCTTGTTCTCATGTATTTATGTTGTTATTCCTTAGTTGTTTTAGTGTTTAAAGTCATTTTCATGCAATTTCAGGTTCTAAGGACAAAGTATGCAATAAGGTGCATTTTGGTGCATTTTGGAGCAGCTTTGGGCTTGGAATGGATAGCACATGCATGAA